ACAGAGTGGGAAGCAGAACAGACAGATCGATAAAGTACACTGCTGAGGGGACAACGAATGGGTCTGGAGAGGTCTGCCCCACCATGTGGTCACCTTAGGGGGAGGCAGGGCTCAACCTCATACAGAAGTGGCTTTTGATTCTTAGTGCTGTGCTTTAACCTGCTGAGCCACCAGGGAGGGCCGGCATATAGGATTCTAAAAGGTTGATAAGCCAATGTAAAATATCCTCAGAAAATAAATTTATATATATGGCGAGTTAGGTTTTGTTGTTGTTGTTTGTTTTTAAGATTTATTTACACATGCATATAAGAACTGTCTGTAGGCCAGAGGTGTGGGGTCTGAAAGGATCCACCAAAGACAGAGTGGGGAGAAGAACAGGCAGATGTACTAAAATACACTTCTGAGGAGAGCAGTGGGTGGGCCAGGAGAGGTCTGCCGCGCCATTTGGATCAACTTCCAGGGCAGGGATCGAACTCATGCTGAAGTGGCTGGTCATAGCCTAATAGCATTTTGTCTTAAACCCCTGCACCACCTGGAAAGCCAGAATTAGAATTTCTAAAACTTAATAATCTCTAAACATTTTATATTGGACCACTATTATACTTTGTATATTAGCTAATTAGTTTGGTTTACATTTCTAATTTTCATTTTTTACATGAAACTATACAAGACTGAAAATTTTCTTACTTATATGTACATTTAATAAAAATAATGAAAATATTTTTTAAGGAACCATTATCACTACATATTGGATGACCTCAAAATTTAGCAGCTTAAAACAATATATAACTAATACAGCAATTTTATTAAAGGTGGTATATTTACTTTGAAACATTTGCTTCTTTAGTTTAAGTAGTATTTTCTTCAGTTTATTAAATCCAATGTAAAATTTCTAGTAATTATAGAGTATCTTTTTTAATTTAGATTTTTTTTAAAAGATTTATTTATTCATACAGAACTGGGGTACAGGCCACAGATGCGGAGGGCGAGAGGATTCACCAGGGACAGAGTGGGGAGCAGAACAGGCAGATCGATGAAGTACACTGCTGAGGGGAGCTGCGGGCGGGTCAGGAGAGGTCTGCCTCGCGCCATGTGGATCTCCTCCAGGGCAGGTGGGGATGGAACTCATGCGGAAGTGGCCTAAGGTTCTTAGTGCAGTGCTTTAACCCACTGTGCCACCAGGAAGGGCCAAGTATCTTTTTTTTAATTTGAAAAAATGGTGTGCCACAACTAGTCAACAGTGTTTTCAGATTTATTCTGTATATCACTACCTTAGTGAAAGATTAATATTATATTGGAAAGATCTATATTATATTGGAATCTAAATAAAAGCACTGTTATAATCATACCAATTTTAATTTACTTCGTATCTAAGTAAAAGGTCTGTAAATTGAACTAAGTTATTTGTGTTATTCTTGCTGTTGGTTTTTATAAAAGATTTCTACGACCTTCAGTAACTGTAATTGCTTCTGTGTGAATTTTTGTACTCTAAAATTTAAACAGATACTACTACATATTTAAATCAATTTTACTATATTTGCAAACATAGAAAGAATACTTAAAACAGCTCCCAAGTTATATATTGTACACTATAACCTTTTAATACTGCAGAGAGTCATTAGAAGAGTGATGACTGTCAGTTTTATATATATTATCAAATTTAAAAGTTGATAGATCTAAAATGTGAGAAAATAATCAAAGAAGTTTCTTCCTTTCTTACAGAATATCTTCTGTTAATTTGACAATATGATCTGATTTTTATCCTCTTTGAAAAATAAGCAATCCTCCCAACTGACAGTTTAATTTACATGTTTCTAGAAAGTAAACTAATTTTTTCTACATTATTTCTCTCTTTAAAATTATATCCTTAGAGTAAATTCTCATTTATTTGCATTTCTGATCAGGAGTACTTTGAATTACCCAGGTGAGTTTAGTCAAAGATTTAACTATAGATTTCATAACTAATCATTACTATCTCCTTTTTTATTAGGTGAGTGTGGTCCAAGATTCAGTAAATATATCAGGGCATACTAATACAAATACTTTGAAGGTGCCTGAATGTCGACTTGCAGAAGATTTAGGTAATCTCTGGGAAAACACAAGATTTACAGATTGCAGTTTTTTTGTGAGAGGACAAGAATTTAAAGCTCATAAATCTGTACTTGCAGGTATTTTCCTCTTTTGAGTAATATGGTACATTTCTTTCAGAATTTCTTGTACATTAAATAATGATACCTAATCTTCTTACAGCTCGATCCCCAGTTTTTAATGCAATGTTTGAACATGAAATGGAGGAAAGCAAAAAGGTAAACTTCATGTAAAGGATAATATTTAATTTATACAAATGTAAAAATAGTGGAATGTCTTTTAAAAGTAACAGTAAATGTTCTCATTCTTTATAATGTGATTTTAGAAATAAACAGAGGAAATAATGTGTTATTTAGTAAAACAATAGATATATCCTAATATAGTTGACCGTAACAAATAACAAAAGGATAGCCATTCAAAAGAGTTGTTCTGTTCCATAGATATTTGAGAGTTCTCTGATTAAGATGTATCTCCCCCCCCCTTTCTAGATGATGGGATGCATTGGAATTTATTTCCTAGACAAAAATAATGCTGCTTTTCTTTATACCACTAAAAGTAAGAGTGTATATATTATATTTAACAAAAAGGACATAACTGACAGCAGTATTGTACATTAACTGTAGTCAGGAAATTGCCTGTATGGTGTTCTCAGAATTCTCCCTTTCACCTGTTAGTTTGAAATGTCAGATTAAAAGATCAGAGGTTGATTCCTTGCAAGTTGCATTACAAGTAAACCTTAGTATTCCAGTAGACAAGCTGTGCCACAGCTTTATTCTTTCTGCAGAGCTAGAAACTACAATAAATTAGCTGCTTTTTCCCTTTGATTGTTGCTGTTGGCAAGTACAGTGATCTGCCTTCTGATTATTTGCAAGTAAAGGAGACATCAGTATTGTCAAATGTGGTTAGTGGCAAAAGATCAGTAAAATTTAGAATGATGTAGTGTTAGATATTTAGCTTAAGTGATTTTAGGAGAGAAGCCAAAGGTATAGGACCAAAAAAGTAACTAGTTCTTTGGACTTGAGTGTCTCGCAAACAAACAAATATGGTAACAGTAGGTAATATTATGTACCATTTTTTTTTAGAGTAGTTCTGAAGTAATGGATTCTGGTATTTTATCAAATGTTATACTCTAGACTTGTAGGGTCTTAGGCATTTATCCACTTAGTAATTCAAAAAAGAAAATGTTAGTAGCCATTTTCTTCTAAGATGAGGTTCATAAACTGAACAGTTATAGTTTATATGGTCTACATGTTATTTTGTTTTTGTTTTACTCTTTTAAATTGCAAATTAGGGTTTGTATTCCTAAACAGTTATGCTTGGCTGCATGTATTTCTCTTAGGCTTACATGCTTCACTTTGCGTGTTTGACTTATATTAATTTTAAAGGCATCTTAATTTTATTTATTTATTTATTTAATATTTATTTATTTATGCATACAGAACTGGGGTACAGGCCAGAGGTGCAGGATGGGGTGAGAGGATTCACCAGAGACAGAGTGGGGAGCAGAACAGGCAGATGGACAAAGTACACTGCTGAGGGGAGCAGCAGGCGGGTCAGGAGAAGTCTGCCATGCCATGTGGATCACCTCCAGGGCAGGGAGGGGTCGAACTCATACTGAACTGGGTTTAGCCTGTTAGTGTTGTACTTTAACCCGCTGTGCCACAAGGTTGGACCCAAAGACATTTTAATTTTAAAATAGAGCTTAATGTATGTTTGACTTGTATAACATTTGAGTGCAGAATTGGGGCTCCAAATTGCTGTCAAAGTTTCGATTTGGTTCATTTGTGTATGTTTATATATAACTTTAAATATAACTTTATTCTATTGCTCCAATATCAGAATCGAGTGGAAATAAATGATGTAGACCCTGAGGTTTTTAAAGAAATGATGAGATTCATTTATACAGGGAAAGCACCAAACCTTGACAAAATGGCTGATAACTTGTTGGCAGCTGCAGACAAAGTAAGTAATTATGTCTTAAAGAGCTATAAAATGTCCTCAAGCTTGGGGTAGCTAGAAAACTATCATCAAATGAAAATCTCAACTTGTTTGAAATATTGAATTTTAAAAATCAAGACATAAACATTCCTTGAAGCAATTAGAGTATTTGAAAGAAAATGAAATATTTGTGGGAGAGTAAACTACCCTTAGTAGTTTTGAATGTATCTTTATTTTATAAGAACATACACATAAATGAAGACTTTTTTTTTTTCATAATTTCTTGGTCTTAAGATTGAATATATGACCCTTTTTTAAAAAAGGAAAAAATATCATGTCTAATTCTCTGTACTCACAATTTTATTTCTTACTATGACAGCATATAGAGAAAACAATGTTAAATTTATAGCCTGTGATTTCTTGAAGATAGGGGAATAGTACAAAAAGAGTAGAAAATCTCAAAATCAGTGGTTCTTAATCCTGAAAGCATATTGGGTACTTTCTCCAAAAGCATTGATAATGCTGCTTCCATCCCTATCTGAGTCTGTAGCTCTGTGTGTGTATGCATTTTAAAACTATATATGGTGATGGTGTGTATGTGTGTGTATGTGGTAGCACCAAGTGTATACAGAATCTGTTACTTCTTTGCAAACACACATAAATCTATGTCTCAATAAAAATTAAAATTAAACATCTTTTACAATAACATCAGAAATATCACGTATATAGATATAAGTCAGACATCTTTAAAACCTGTGTACTACCTTCGTAAAATCCGGTAGATTTAAAAGGAGAAATCAGTTTTTTGTGGGGACTAGAATTTGCAGTATGGTTAAAAGTACCATTCTCAAAAGCAACTTCTATAAAAATCCCAGCAGGCCTTTTTTTTTTTTCAATTGGTAAGCTGTTAAGATTTGAGTGTTTGTGGTACAAGAACCTTACATTATCAAGTAACTTTGAAAAAGAAGGGCAAAATGGAGGACTATCATTTCCTGATATCAATATTGCTTACAAATCTTCAACATTTATGAGTATATATAGGTGACAATCTAGACAGATAATTCACTGGAACAGAATACAGAAATAGACTTCACTTATATGGATATCTAATTCCTGATAAAAGCACATTGACAGTTCAGTGGAGAAAGGTTAGTCTTTTCAACTTATGGTTTGGAACATGTGAATGGAAGCACATAAGCCCCTCAAAATGAACTTTGAATTACTTTGAAAAATGAGTTTTCTATATGACTTCATGCAGAAAACATACAAAAAATGAATTAGAAACCTAACAATGTAACTTCTAAAAGAAAATCTTCACATTTTTATTAACACCAAAAACATAATGCATAAAATAAAAAATGATTAGATTTCAATAAAGTTTAAAACTTCTTTTTATTTTTCAAAAAGACATAGAATAATAAGATTGGGAGAAAATAACTATAAAATATACATATGTTGAACAACTTATATCCAGAATATTTCTGATAAAGAACATGGGCTGTATTCAAACTGTACAAAGAACTCTGAAAACTCAGTTATAAGAAAAACTTGCTATATCTCAAAATAGGGTAACTAGTTGAACAGGAATGGAAAGTGGTACAAGCACTTTGAAAGACTGTTTGGCAGCTTCATAAAAAGTTTTATGCTTGGTGTATGATCCAATTTTCACAAGAGAAAAGAAATAATACAGCTGTATAGTGGCTCACATATGAATGTTTACAACAGCATTAATTGTAATAAACTAAAGACTAGAAACACCCCTTTATATGCCAATATATGGATAAAAAAATTATGTTAAGGCTGTAAACAGTGGAACTCATACTGCTAATTCCTGGATTCACAAATCATCCTACTCCACCAAAAGAAAAAACAAAAAAACATGAAACTGTTGATAGACAGGCAACCATATGAGTGAATCTCAAAATAATTATATTGTGTGTAAAATCGAGACAAAAATGAGTGTAAATTATACATTCATTTATAGAAAACTCCAGAAAATGCAAACTATAACAGTAAAAAAACATGCCAGGCTGTTCCCCTGGGTTGGGGCAAGGTGGAGGGATTTTCATGGGGTGGAAGGAAGCTTAAAGAAGTTGGACATTTTAATTTCTTGATTTAATGATGCTTATATGGCTGCATAAACTTATCAAGGTATAAACTTTAATTTTGTGAAATTTATTGTGTGGCAGTTATACCACAGTAAAAGTGTGGAAGTTGTAATAATATCATGCCTTATTACTAAAAATTTTAGTGGTTGTGACTGTGAATTGTTTAGTTTTATAATTCACTCTTCATAACAGAGTATTGGCAACATGTTCTATACTTAAAACTCCCATAAATAATGAAGCTTTTTTGAAGCATAAATTCTGCTTTTTAAGTATCTGCATTTTGCACTTAAACAAATTGAAGTGTCTTAAGTAGATTTTCTCTTCAATGGATGCATTCATATTTTGCTCATAATAGGTTAAAGTTTTTAAAAACAAATTTCCCTCAGCTTAAATTATAATGTATGTTAACTCTAAGTTACAAATACCTTGTATTTAAACTGGATAATTTGAGTAAATACTTAATGCTTATGTTTTCCTTTTGGATAGTATGCACTGGAGCGACTGAAGGTTATGTGTGAAGAAGCTTTGTGTAGTAACCTCTCAGTAGAAAATGTTGCTGATACCCTTGTCCTTGCAGATTTGCACAGCGCAGAACAGTTGAAAGCACAAGCCATAGACTTTATTAATAGGTAAGCTGTGCTTGTATTTCAGTGAGCATAACACCGTTAACATTTTTCACTGAACATTTTTTTAAGTTTGTTGGAATCTTCAATGCAGGTGCAGTGTTCTTCGACAGCTTGGGTGTAAAGATGGGAAGAACTGGAACAGCAGGTAAGATAAAATTCATTTCTGACTTAAAAGTTGATATCTGCATACATGAAATAAAATGTTTGCATGGCCTTTTGTTTATAAGTAAATATGAACCCATATGAAAATAAGCTGCCAGTTATTTTTTTAAGTAGTTTTAATTTTTTTTTGTATATTTTATTTTTACATCATTTTGTACATTTTTTTTTCATCTCAATTGTAATCCCCGTGGGTTTCCCCATCACCAAGTCACCC